TTCTGGGTATTTTTTAGGTTTTAGGTATCAGGCATAATTTGTATCTTGTTGAGCAAGCCTTCCTTATGTCAAATTAGAGAGCTATTGGTTATCACAAAAATATGAGTGCCACTATTACATACTCAGGCTTATTGTGCCATGGTGGTCATTTTTATATTTTATATTTCATAGACATCATAGCTCAGTAGGAGTACTGTTGTTACCTTCCTTTGAAAGAGGCTTTTGGTCAGATTTCTGATCCTCTAGGTCCTGTGACCAAAGTAAATGGTGTCTTCAGTAATAGAGACTTACCTTAAACCTATAGGAGACAAACATGGGCAACAGCAATAACCTATAATGTTTCAATAGTCTTTTGGATTTCCCCTGACAATAAATGATAAAGTGGCTTCTTGTGCCTGGTGTTTGGGTTTATGTTAGATAGTATGTGGCTCTCAGTCATAACCATTGCCAATTCAGTGGGAAAATTTTCATTTAAAGTATCTATGTGTATGTATACACACACACACACACACACATACACACACACACACACACACACACACACACATATATATATATATATATATATATATATATATATATATATATATATATTATGTAATTTTTGGAAAATAGACAACATTATCTCTTACGGGATTTTCAGACATCCTTATTATTACTTTATCCTCTTCTTCCTCTCTACTTTTTTGTTACCCTCCTTCTCCTTTCCAATTAAGCTCTCCAGCAACAATTGGCGCCCAACGGCTCGAGTTTCCACCTTAAACCTGAGAATATTTAATAACCAATTCTAAACAGAGCCAAAACCAGGTTCCTGCTTCTTGTCTCATAAGGCAGCTAGAAGCCGCAAAACGCAGGTTTGAACACTGGCGGGTTCTTGGCCTATGCGTTTGACCGGCAGTATGGCGGAAATGAGGCATCTGTCAGCGGCACATTAAACTATGTGGTAGATTTAGTCTTTACTAGTATTTAAAAAAAAGAGGTTTCTGGGCTACACACTGCTTTGATAAAAACTTAGACCCACTATTTCTGAGACTTGATGACTCCCAGAGCTGGTGGAAAACGTACCACTGC